TCATCTCCATTACATAGGCAAGGCATTCTGTAGTTCACTGATTTCGATGACAAACCCTTCCTCCTCCTCTTATGTTCACTGCTTTGGACCACAGAAACTTCCTCTTCGCCTCATCTCCATTACATAGGGGAGGTGTTCTGTAGTTCATTGTTTGGACCATACGCACTTTCTATTTGCCTCATTTCAATTACACAGGGGAGGTGATATGTAGTTCACTGATTTGGACCACAAACACTTTCTCTCCAATTTATCTCCATTACATAGGGGAGGTGTTCTGTAGTTCATTGTTTTGGACCATAAGCAATTTCTCTTTGTCTCATTTAATTACACAGGGGAGGTGATCTGTAGTTCACTGATTTGGACCACAAACACTTCCTCTTCACCTCATCTCCATTACATAGGGAAGGTGTTCTGCAGTTCACTGAAGTTCGCTGATTTGGACCACAGACACTTTCTCCTCCCCTCATCTCCATAACCTAGGGGATGTGTTCTGTAGTTCACTGATTTGGACCACAAACACTTCCTTCTCACTGCACCTCTAATATATAAAGGAGGTGTTCTGTAGTACACTGATTTGAATCACAAACACTTTCTCCTCACCTAATCTCCATTACATAGGAAAGGGGTTCTGTAGTCCATTGATTTGTACCACAATTGCATCCTCCTCATCTCCATTACTTATAGAGGTGTTCTGTAGTTCCTACTGTCAGAACACAATGGCGGAAACGATTACCGCATCTACACTGACTGTGTTGATGGGGAGAATTAAGTAATTTTCCTTTCCTACTACTTATGGTTTGAAGGAAAGAGAATTGCATAATGTATGACCAGCCTTAGCAGGCGCATTGGTGTGCGCTGGGGAGCACGTGGAAGGGCGGAGCGCGTGGAAGGGCATGCACTCCTTAGGGCCCATAGACACTGCCCACACATGCACTGCGTTTTGGTGCACTTCCCTGTGTATTTGTGCAGGGTTTTTTTTTTGTTTGTTTGGTGTTTTTTTTTTTGTTTTTTTTTTAGTTTTTCTGCATATACAATTTATTTTTTTTTTCATTTTAAACGGAATGTTTCCTCTGACCGATTTGCTGCGGGTGAGAGGTGGGTTTGCATTTTGACCCCTTTACACGTGTTTCTCTGCATTATTATGCAAACATGTTTCATAAAATTGCATTGCTATAGAATGCTGCAGAGAAACTCGGCTTTCTTGCATGAACATGACGCACAGAAAACGTTACTTTTCTACAATATGTGTCATTGCAGTTACCTGCGTATTCCCATGTGGAAGAACTATGCGTAGTGTGAATGGGCCCCTAGGCCAGTTCATATCTGAGCGGCTCTTCATGCCACATTTGCAGGGGAGCAGGAGCCCATTCATTTGAATGGACAGCTGTATCTGTGTTTCCTGCAGGGAAAAAAGGTCTCTGCACCATTTATTTATTTGTTTTTATTTATTATTTGTTATTATTATACAGGATTTATACAGCGACAACGGTTTGCTCAGCGCTATGTTTGTTTAATTTATTTTTATTTTTGCACGGACATCACATGGTGTTTTTGAACCATGCGAATTACCTGTGGGTGAAACTGTTCCACATTTTTCAGTGCATGGGTCTGCCATTAAGACACAATGGCACCTCCAGGTATTTTCTGTGCAGCACCACTTTTTGTGTTTCAGAGAAGCGTTTGCGGTTTAAATCAATAAACTACAGAATACTTCCCCCTATGTAATAGAGATGAGGAAATGCTTATGGGTCAAATCAGTGAACTACAGAACACCTCCCCTATATAATGACGATGAGGTGATAAGGAAGTGTTTGTGACTGAAATCAGTAGTGACGCACCGATATATCGGCTGCCGGAAATTAGCAGGCGAAAAAAGGGTCATCAGCGTTTTGCCGGTAGAAAAAAAAAGTGCCGATTAACTGACATCCATGCAAAATCGCATTCCGTTGATGTCCGTGCAAAATCGCCTCTGTGTTGTGGTTTTTTTTTTTTTCTGGTTTTTGTTTTAAAAAAGTTTAGAGAGAGAGAGAGAGATCGAGATCTATATATAAAATTTTCATTTTCTGTCCAGTTTTTGTGTTCCTTTCAATAAAAGCTATTTTACATTACTGGATTGTGGTTTTTTTTTTTTTTTAATTAATATTCATTTTAAATTAATTATATTAATTACAAGATTGAATAGAATGCAAATTAAAAAAAAATATATATATTTGAATAGAATACATATTTTAAAAAAAAAAATATATTCTATATATATTTTTTAATTTGTATTCTATTCAACTTTGTAATGTTAATGAATTTTAAAATGAATATTAAAAAAAAATATATATACAATCCAGTAACATAAAAAAGCTTTTATTGAAAAGAACACAAAAAAGTGGACAGAAAATGAAATGGGGGGGAATTAAATAAATATATATATATATATATATATATATATATATATATATATATATATATATATATATATATATATATATATATATATATGCTATTTTATGTTACTGGATTGTATTATTATTTTTTTTTTTTAGATATTCATTTTAAATTCATTAACATTACAAAGTTGAATAGAATACAAATTAAAAAAAAAATGAAATATATATATATTTATTTATTTTTTTAAATTTGTATTCTATTCAACTTTGTAATGTTAATGAATTTAAAATGCATATTTAAAAAAAATAATAATAATACAATCCAGTAACATAAAATAGCATATATATATATATATATATATATATATATATATATATATATATATATATATATATATATATTTATTTTTTTTTTTTTTTTAAAACTGTCGTTTTTCGGCCAAGTGCATCCTGATTTTCAGTTTCGGTCCAGAGTTTCATTTCAGTGCACCACTACAGATCAGGGAACTACAGAATTTCTCCCCAATGTAATGGAGATGAGGTGGAAGTGTTTGTGACTGAAATCGGTGAACTACATACGATTTACACACACTCTTTACCTGCAAATAATGTGAATGTAGCCTTGGCATGCAATCGCGTGTGTCCCTGACACTGATGTCATAACTAGTCACGTGCAGCACCATGGCAACCATGGATCAAACTGAGGCCAAGATGGCATCTTCCTTCGCTGTAAAGGAGAGGAGGGTTTAGTTCCCCTTCTAAAGCCCAACATCCGGCAAAATTCCCATTCTAACAGTATGGGCTCTTGAACGCGGTACTGATGTTTGAGCATCTGCTTTTTTGAGCGTAATTTCAGGCGTTTGTTTTGTACATATTCGCGCGTGTTTTTGCACATTGGCATGCGCAATATATTCGTAGGGAAAATTTTAAGTTATGCTCGAATTTGTGCATAGTTACATGCACATGTCACAAATTACTGACCAAAAATTCAGGTTTTTCCTTTTTTTTTTTTCTGAAGAATACAAGGTGCTTGTTTATACGCTTGTGTGCAAAGGCGCATTGTAAATAATGGGTTACATTTTACCTCAGTAAAAAAAACCCTGCTGTAATGAGCGTTTCTAAGCTGCAAGAGGCCTCTATAGTCAATGACTTGGCTTCCTCCTGGGTGGGTTCCATAAACAGCGGGTCCTGACACACAACCAGACCCGGTCTTCATTACTCGGCTCGGATCTTTCCAGACACTTGCTATCGTCTAGGGGTCTCCCTGCTCCTCATAGTTCTGCCTCATGATAGGACCCCCGCTGCTGAAATCTGTGACTCAACCAACAGGAAGTATCCATGTTACACAGGCAGAGATGTGGACACCCCAAGAAGGACCCTTTGGATGTAAACAGAGGAAGAGGAGGCTCCTCAGGACCTGAAGGACATGATACCATCTTCAGGTAATTAACCTCTTCCATACCGGGCACTTTTCCCCCCTTCCTGCACAGGCCATTTTCAGGTTTCAGCGCTCTCACACTTTGAATGACAATTGCGCGGTCATACAACATTGTACCCAAACTAACATTTTATCATTTTCTTCACACAACTAGAGCTTTCTTTTGGTGGTATTTAATCACCGCTGGGGTTTTTATTTTTTGCTAAATTAACAAAAAAAGACCGAAAATTTTGAAAAAAAAACACGTTTTTCTTTGTTTCTGTTATAAAAGTTTGCAAATAAATAATTGTTCTTCATAAATTTAGGCTGAGATGTATTCTGCTACATGTCTTTGGTGAAAATAACCCAAATTAGGATGTATTATTTAGTTTGTAGGAAAGTTATAGAGTTCACAATCTATGGTATAGATCTGAATATTGATCCATCCTGAAGTACTGACGGCCAATCTAATTTCTTGAGGTCCACGAATGTCAGAACAGTACAGATATCCCCCAAATGTCAGGACAGTACAGATATCCCCCAAATGACCCGTTTTTTGCAGAGTAGACAGTCCAACGTACTTCATAAGAGGCATGGTGAGATTTTTGAAGTTGTATTTTTTTTTTTTTGTCATAATTTTTTGGAAAATGAAAAAAATTTAAATGATTTTCACTTTTTTTTTTTTTTTTTTTTTTTTTACATACTGTCATCAGTGCAGTACAGCATCATCATATAACTGGCATGGCGGTGATCAGGGACACTGACTGGTGACCGTATGGAAAAAAAAAATATTTTGTTTTAATTTTTTTTTATTATTTTTAATTTTTTATTACTTTTTTTTTTTTTTTTTAAGATTTTTTTTTTTCATATTTCACTATGACCAAAGCAGTACAATGTTACCATAGTAACATTGTACTACTTTGGGGAAGGGATCAGTATTTTTTTTTTTTTTTACACAATTTGCTTATAGCAAAGAATTACTTTGCTATAAGCAAGCATTTACCTGAATGATATCGATTCATTCAGGTTTTTATTTTTTCTTGTGCTTAGCTGTGATTTGGCCACAGCTAATCACATGACACAGCCGGGCTGTGATTGGCCCAGCTTGTACATGTGATCGCTGTGACCATTCACAGCTAGACACACTAGTATACAATGGATGGCATGAATGAAGCCATCCATTGTATACAACTGTCATGTGACCTGCTGTGATTGGTCACCGCAGGTCACATGGTACTGGCAACGGGGCCGGTACTCAGATCTGTCATCGGCCGTGTCCGAGGTACACAGCCGGTGAAAGATCGCGCCACTGCAAACTGCGCATACCCGAAAGGACATCTCATGGCGTCCACCCGGAGGGACGAGGGGTTTTGCAGGCCGCCATTTGGCTATAGGCCGGGTGGGAACCTGTTAAACATTTCATTTTTTTTTTTTTTTGTTCTAAGGATTAGCTAGAGGTGGCTGGGGGGTTGTTCTTGCTTTGCCCACAGATGGACTTTGGGACGTGTTTCCCTGGCGATTTCTTTGTTGTGATACTTTTTTTTTTTTTGTCTTTATGATAGATCAATCAAAATTCTAGTTTATTTTTAATGGTAGCTCACTAGTTTTGTTGCTGTCTGAATTTCCCGACATTCGCTCTGCATTCACTTTTACGGCTTCACTACAGATTGGTGAAGGAGAGGATTTGTAGCTGGGAACTCTGATGTCATGATGTGAGTTTGACCTGTAGCTGAGATAAATCGCTAAATTAAGGGGAACTTCACCCTTTTTAACCACTTCAAGTCCAGACACTTTCACCCCCTTCCTACCCCCAGGCCAATTTTCAGCTTTTAGTGCTATCATACTTTGAATGACAATTGCGCAGTCATGCAACACTGTATCCATATGTGTTTTTTAGCATTTTTTTGAGACAGATAAAACTTTATTTTGGTGGTATGAAAAAGTCCAAACATTACAAAAAAAAAAAAAAAAAAAAACATTTTTTGTTCTCTTATAAAATTTTGCAAATAGTCTTTCTTCATAAATTTTGTCCAAAATGTATTCATCTATCTTTTTAGTAAAAAAAATAACCCAAATTAACCAAAAATTATAATTTTTCAAAAACTTTTTTTTTACATTTTATTTTTTTTATATTCTTTTGTGTGTGTGGGTTTTTTTTTTTTTTTTATACATACTGTCACCCTAGCAGTACAGTGTCAGCAATAAAGGCTGTAAAAGCAATCATTTCTCCTTCTCTCTGGCTGCATTCTTGCAGCCATTGAGAAATACTGTGAGAGCTGTGATTGGTCACAACTTGTCACATGTTACAAGGCTGTTGTGAATAGCCTTGTACCATGTGACTTCTGTGATCATTCACAGATTTCAAACGTAGTAAGCAATGATGTCAGGAAGTGCCATCTTGGTTACTACTATTCATGTGATCACTGATTGGCCACACAGAGGTCCCGTACAGCTATCAGTGTTCCGCTGTGTCCGGGGGACACAACGGGCACCGGATCGCGATGCTGTGTGCTCCCAGGGAGTGCGCACAGGCGGGGAATGCGGGAGGATGTTTATAAATGGCCACCTGCTTCTGCAGTGCTCTCGTCCGGCCGTTTATGTACATGAGCCAGATGGGCAGTGGTTAATCAACACTGACCATTTTAAAATCCTTATGCTACTAGCATTCGTAATTCAATAGGAAAGTATATTATATTTACTCGTTTCAAGCTTTATTTTTTTGTTACTTCCTGGTTTCCAGGCCTGGGAGGTTTTCTCAGCTTCGCACACCCTCCTGTCTGCATGCCTGAGCTAGAGGCATATGGATTCCAGGATTTACACAGTGGCTAGATGGTTAGCACTTCCTGGCAGTACTAGGGTCGTTGGTTCGAATCCCAGCCACGTCACCACCTGCCTGGAGTTTGCATGTTCTCCCTGTGCCTGTGTGGGTTTCTTCCGGGTACTCCGGTTTTCTCTCACAATCAAAAGACATACTGGTAGGTTAATTGGATCCTGTCTAAACTGTCCCTAGTATGTATCAATGTAAGTTAGAGACCGTAGATTGTACACCCCTTGAGGGTTAGGGACTGATGTGAATGTATAATATATATGTAAAGCACTGCGTAAATTGACGGCGTTATATAAGTACCTGAAATAAATAAAATAAATTCCAGGAAGTAAATGCTACATGACTCATCTGCCCTTACTCCAGATGACCATGGCCAGAAATGCTGGGGGGGCCTCCACCCAAAAGGGGAAGTTCCGCTTTGTCTTTTTCCCCAGCTCCCCATTAAGGATTGGCAACTTTGAGGAGCAGGTACCCAAATTTGACATGTACCCACTCCCACTTCCGCTGGGATCGCCTAAGGTGATCGGAAGCTGAACTTGTCCTCCCTCCCTCCCCGTAGTCTTCTGGGACATGTGACAGGTCCCAGAAGACTACGGGGCCATTCACAAAGCACAGAGCTTCTCGCGCATGCGCAGTGGGCACCCGGCTGTGAAGCTGCAAGATGTCACAGCTGGGTGCCCACACTGAAGAAGCCAGCACCGGGGAGAAAAGACAGCCAGTGAAACCAGCCATGGTGAGGACCGAGGGACAGGAAAGTGGCTGTATTTTAAAAGTCGGCAGCTACAGTTTTTGTAGCTGCTGACTTTTATTTAAATTTTTTCAGCTGGAACTCCTCTTTTAAAGTAGTGTTTGTGGTTTATGGTGCTTAGATGCAGTAACGTTCCACTTTAGGCCATACATAGATCAAAATTTGGACAGTTCAGCAGGGACCAGGTGAAGTTTGATCCATGTATGGGTTAGCTGGTTGTACAGAAGTTGATCTATTGATGGGCTTCTGTACAACCAGCCTGTCTGTTTCTGTTTTTTTTTCCCCCGAATAATCAGTGCCTCCTGATATAGCCAGCAACACCGATTGCCCGCAGAACACAATAGCACTGCAGGACTCATTCTCGCATCCACATCGTGTGTGTGGATGGTGGAATCGGCACATTTCTTCACCTATAGAGATTAGACCCCTGTTACTAATCGCTGTCTATCACTGGTATTAGCATTTTATAGCAGCAATTAATCCCAGCTGCAAAATTGCCAGTCTCACATGGTCCTAAGATGTATATTTTACCGCATGTAAGCGCAGTGCACTGTAACAAACCGTCAACTGTGGTGCAATTCACTTTAAATTTTAAATCTTACTTTGGCACCCCAACACATGTTCGTCACAGCACATAGCAACGTACAGATGGGAACCATCTCTGCATTACGATGCATTGCTAAAGAAAAAAAAAAAAGGGGTTAGCTCCAATTGAGGTGTATTGGCAGCAGATTTAAAAAAATGGGTTGCTTTAACACACCTTAATACACAGCATACCACACGACCATGTGCATGCGTCCCATGTGTAGGGGCTCTGACATTACTCTTTATGAGATTTCAGTAATTGGGTTTACCTAATGTATCATCTTCTATATAGCTGCTCCAGGCTTCTCTGCACTTATCATTGTAAAGCTGCCCATACATGTATCAGGTTTTTTTTTTATAATTAGCCAGTGGACTGATCAAAAAAATTAAACAGATTCCCCTATCCATATATTCGACATCAATAGGGGAATCCTCTGCACATTGCCACTGTATTTTGACAGGAGGATTAACCTGCCGTCAGAATACACTGATTGCACGACCCTGGGCAGTAATCCTACACATTCTCCATGATTGATTAGTAGATAACATTCATTTTTCCATCCATGTGTTTGCGAATTGCGCTTCCCCCCACCAGGTGGTGTCCCTAATAGATCCTCTTTGCATCAAGTGGGGTCCCTCTTTACATCAGGAGTCTTCATACATCCAAGTTGTTGCCCCCCCCCCACCATTTCTCACTTGTACTGGCAGATTGGTGTCCATTGGTATGATGGCAGCATCTCCTTCGTTTCTTCTGTCACAGGGAGAGAGGAAGAAGGACACAGTCTGCCCTCGTTCAGTAGCATGACGCTGGGGATGATACGTTGTCTCAGTTCCGGCTCTTTTTCACCCCGTGCAGGCTGGAGGGAGAAAGTTGAATCCTCCCTCCAGCAGCAGCTATTGGCCTCTGCTCCTTCTGACAGGAGTGACACTGCAATCACTCCTGTCAGTGAGGAGCGGGACTAGTTGCCAAATTAGAAGCATCCCCCCTCTCAACACAGCTCCTTGGGCAAGTGTCCGCTTGAGCCCCCCCCTTGTCCCGGCCCTGATACTAATATACCATGAGCTATAGGTTGGCTGACAGGACCAACCAAGGAGTAAATTCTAGCTAGTTCCTCAGGATCCAGCTAAAATTTGAACAGTGTTTGGCCAGCATAAGAATGTTATTCTGACCACCATTGTAAGGCGGGAGTTCACTGACTACCAATGTAGGTAGCATTTTTTCCTACCAATCTCTGACAATTTGGTTTTAGCAGGGGTTCCCAAGAACCTGAAAATTTCAAGGTGTCCTCAGGGGAAAAAAGGTTGAAAAATGCTTGTTAAGACAGGACAGCATCATAGAAAAATGATAAAGTCTAAAATAAAACCCCCAAAAATGTCCCAGGTGTTCCAAATAGTTTTTATTTTTAAGTATACACATATGGGTATGCTGGGGAGCTTAGCCAGCCATCGGTTATGAATACTTTGCACTGTGCTAGAGAACTGGAAACAGTACGAACGCAAATTCCTCATGAGGTGAACAAAAGAAGAAAAATAAAATAGCGTAGCTGTTTCTCAACATAACTCGAGTAATCTGTCAGCCACACAAAGCAGGGATATTGCCTAGAAATACAATAATACTGTGCTTGGCATGAACAACACATACTTTGAATAGTTTTACATGTCACACTGGAATACAGGACAATTTGGGGAAAAAAGTCACATGCTTTTTTTAAGGTTATCATGACTGTGCGCTTTTGTGCTCTGCCATGATGAAGACATATCTATGGCCTGAAAGCTGCTTGGTTGCTATTTGGTAGACTGGGCAGAACTACTTCCATAAGAACCTATGAGGCCTGGTAGTGAGGAGGAACCCAATGTATAGGCCTAACTTGGGTCAGATTAATATTCCAGTTTATGAGGCCGATAGCCTTGTGCTACCCTTTTCCTATACCAGTAGATTGGGTATCCTTAGTATTGACCTTCGAGATCAGATGTCATAACACACTGATCCTGGGGGCAGAGAGGCTGAAAGAGATGGTTTACCTACTTCCCGTCAGTATTCTTCGCACTAACATCTACAGTTGGGAAGACAGTTGCACTATTCTGATGGGTGAAGAGAAGAAAAAACCCATCAAGGGTCGATGTAGCAGAGGCTTCATGGTCTTGTGGTGTGATGGTTATGGAAGGGTTGGAATCATCACTACAAAACGCTGATATGGCGTAAACAATAAATGTTTGTTCTATATTTCGTGTGACTTTGACCCTTCTATGACCATTACGCCACATGACCAAGGGCACCTCTGCCACATTTAACCCCTGAGAGACTTTTTTCCTCTCCACCCAGGAGTTCCCCCCCACAAGCCTACTATCTCTCCTGAGGATCTAGGGCTGGGTTCCAAAGAGGCATCGAGTGCAACCAGCCACTTCCTGTGTGGAGACAGGGATTTTCTCCATGTGCCAAACTGGTTTGTGTTTTACCAAGCGTTTTGGTTACTCACAACCTTATCAAATGTAGGTGTCTTTAATTTTGGTCAGATCGTTACACTTCCTGTGTGGAGACAGTGATATTCACCACACGCCAAACTGAATGGTTACGATTACCATATATTTTGGTTACTTGCAATCTTGCCAAATGTCCTTTTCATTTTTGTCCAATCATTACACTTTAAAAATTACTGCATATTTACTACTTTATATGGCAGCCTTTCTCAACCTTTTCAATACAGAGAAACCTTTGAAATAACTTTCCAGTCTCTGGGAACCCCATTTAAAAACGACTATCTCTACAATTCATGATACATTAGCGTGATGGTCAGTGGGAAGAATGCCCCTTACACTTTTGGTTATTGGGAAGAATTACTCCCTTGCAGATAGCTAAAATGATCAATGGTGTCAGTGGGAACATGCCTACCTGCTCATTTCTCAAGGAAAGCCTAGCAACCTCTGGAGGAACCCTAGGATTCCTTGGAACCCTGGTTAAGAAACCCTGCTATATGGGTTCTCCCATTCTTCTTCTTTTTTTTTTTTTTTCTGATAAACCTTGAGTTTTTTTCCCAGCCACAGCGCTTATGGAGGATTACCATCCTACAAAAAGCACTGTTCTTACAGCATTTTGGCTCTACTTGTATGTGCCCAGCCAGCAATATATGTGGGTGGCTATGTGCTACACCTGGTAGCAATGTATTTTTGCATGATATGTAAAACAGAACAATGCTATAAATGATATTCTGCAACCCGCAGTACCATCACCCAAGAGATACTTGGGTAGACAGGGATGGCATTTAGCAGGTGCAAAGGGATGTAACCACACAAATAAGTTTTCACGTTTATCAAGTTGGTTGTAACTGACTAACAAGCTTGGAAATGGATGTCCTCTTCTGATGAGTGCAGGCAATTATGGATCTACCCCTGAAGGGG